CTCAGGAGGCAGCACACCCTGTCCTGCCACAGCCACACAGCCTGCCCTTCCCCTGTGCCCAGATCCACATCCTGGCACTGCACCAGCACTGCAGACCCCAGTGGCAACTGGTCCTCACTGAGAGGCAGCACAGCGCAAGAGCCATCGCAGAAGTCTCACACTCACTGCTCAGGGCTCTGACAGAATTCACTGCAGGATGCTGCTCACCAGACCTGCTTGCCCCACTGCTGGCACAGCTCCTGCCTTGCAGCAGCACCTGTGTCTCAAAGACGTGTCCCTAAAATACTGCATTCTGCTGTGTCAGCCCTGGGTTGTCACGCAGGCAGGAGACCAAGCAGATAGCCCAGAGCAGTAGCATCTTAAACTGCCCGCACACAGGTCAACCCACCAGAACTCTTCAGTCCCTTTAGACTTGTTAGGTCTGAATAGGGCTCATTAATGGTATTTCTTACTTTCGAAGACACGGATAAAAAGATCCGGGAATAAGGTCTGGCTATAAGGAAAGACATGACACGGTTACTGCAGAGGACACTATTTCAAAGTTCAGGTTAAATACATTATTCGCCAAGGAAGAAATAAAAGGAAACCAGCATTATGCAAAACGAGCAAAAGTGTTAAATCCCTTTACTCCAAGCACTGTTCAACGGGAGCAGCAAAAGTTCAAGTTTACAATTAAGAGCCACCAGTCTAGCTGACAGAAAACTAGATTTATGGGAGAGACCAGCTGGACTGCAACCCCAGTTACAGTTACCTTAATTGCTTTTCTCCAGAGGAAAGTTTTCTTTACAAGTTGCCCACCTTTAGGAATTGCTGAGCCCACTGTATGGGCTTAGAAGGCAGCAGCAAGAGGGATATCTTCTTCCACATGACACTTGGAAGGAAAATACTAAACAAATTGAATGGGTTCGAGAGGTGGGTCCCCTGCAAGTATTTTCCCATATCGGAAGTATGTTTCCCTTTGGCTCTGCCAGGACTAAAATTACAACCATGAATATAATTTTAAAAATGCTACTCTGAGTTTTAATTGGCATTTGTGTGCAAATTTGTATGTACAATGCAAGCATATACAACTTGCATTTTCATTATACTTGTGTAAATCACGTATATATAAATTAAATTATATTACATATATTCTATGTGCATTTATTTATATAAAGGAGTCCTCCATATTACTAAACAGAATTTTAACAAAACATTAACTTTCAAAATGCAATTCAGTTATACTTCCTAATTTATGTTTGTACTGCAGCAGATCTGTAAGCCTTTCCTGTGGACATGCAGTGATCATATCAAAAACACTGCTTGAGGCTGGTTACATTGGCCAATTATACTGTTTTATTACTTCCTTTTTCTGTAAGATTGGGCACCGAAAACACATCAATTAATTATGCTCCTGCTTTTTCTCAATAAAGAGCCTTTCAGGAACAAGATTAGATAAGCCTTCCACGCTGAAATGTAATTTTAAATTACCCTTTTCAGTTCACTTCTCACTTCCAATGTGTGATGTATGGGGCACAGCTCCATTTGTTTGCTGTTCCTACCAGAGTTTGAAAACTCTGAAGAAAAGACAACCCACATTTTTAAAAACAACTTTCTAGAAATCTGTCATAGAGGAGAAATGCATTGGGTGGAAGGCGTTCAGTGGGTGCATATGAGAGGGAGACAGAGGAGTAAAAAATGGAATATTAAAGCACAAGAAGGGACACAAAGCATGGAAACACAGCAGCAAAGTCAAATTAAGGAGAATGAGGCCTTGGGGCTGGAGAGTGCTCTTTCAGGCAGAGCCAAGGTAGGCTGGGATGAAACACAGAAACCAAGGTGTTATCCTGCTGCTGCACGATGAGACAGGGTTAATATGTGTCACTGCAACCTAAAAGATTCTCACACTCCCACAAATACGGAAGCAAGAGCATTTACAGGAAAAGTGTACAGGACTGGTGTGGGTGTCACTGATGCTATCTGTGCTTCAGGAGGAAAAGAGGTCTTTCAAGCTCATGACCAAATTTTTTCTGCCCCTTCTGCAGTAAAGTCAGACTTATAATCAAACCAATCTAATATTATGGCAGTTATTATGATGGGATGAATTAAATGAATTAAATATTAATACCATGATGAGAAAAAGAATCAAATTTACTATCAGTAACTGTTTGGTTTTTTTTTTCTATAAACGTTATCAAAAAGCAAAAAGTAAACATGTTTAATAAAAATGAGTGGTAAGACTGTCCCTGGTTGTCTAGAAAATGCAGCAAACTACTTTTCAAAGTAGCCACGGGGTCAGACAATAGACATTATAGTCTGAATTACTCTGCATTGTCATAAAAAAATGGAGCTGGGAACAATTTTGTGACAACTCCTTTGTAGAGATTCCACAGTAGCTGATGGAGAAACAACAGGGGTTTCATGGTTATTTTCCATAGTTCCTGGAAAAGCTGTAGTCATTCAGCCTGCAAATACCACAAGTACATGCAAATGTATGAGACACATGCATATACAAATATTTGGGTGCAAGATGGACAGCACTGACTGATAGTTAAACCTGTGTGTTCTTGGACTTGAGCTTTCAAAGACCTCCCAAGGAGAACATGAATATTTTATCCTATGGACTATCTCACCTGAAATTGGAAAGATACTGCTACATAGAGAAAAACATAACCTTTGCTTACAAAAAAAAGACGAGCAGAATCCAAGTTTCATGAGATTCTCTAAGCTAGCCACAATTTTAGATACTAAATTTGCTAGGAATTCATTTTAGAGCAACAGTAACAATTTTGTATTTGGAGTCAAAGCTTGTTTAATATTTTATCAATCGATATTGCAGATACGAACTTTGACTTTCATCTAGTTCTGCTCATCTTTAGATGTTCTCATCAATGTATGACCATAGTCTTTATATAAACATTCCTATGCTAGCCAGATGAATGCAAAAATTCTTTCATCAAAACAACATGTTACATTGGAGTGCACAGGTGATAACAAAGCCTCTCCTAGTGACAGAAAAACATTTCAGAAATCCAGCCTGTTCATCCAGTCATATTGTACCACCCCTGAGTATATCTCAGTCTTAAAAATTTGACTGCTTACTTCAAAAATAACCCTACAATCTGATCTTTCTGTGTATTAAACTCTTCGGTGAAGCCCCTGTAACCAAAGACACAGAAACAGGGCAGACATTCTAAACACATGAAAACAACAGTGTGCCAATTCAAAATCTCCAGGAACATCATCATTTTAGCCTAAAAGTACCCATTGTTGCTCCACATACAAAGCAGCAGAATGAATACAATGCAAGTCATATATTAAGCATCATAGAGATTCTCAATGTTCCATGAAGGCATTTAGTCACACTGAAACGTAACATTCAGGTATTATCTTCTATGCTAATGATGCAATATTACTCATTCATCAGTTCTTTCCAGAGATCTTGCTATGAATATTCACCTCGTGATTACAATAACAAATTCAAGGCACTCTGCAATACTTAGCACTGTGATACAGTAGTACCACTGTCATACAGATTAACCAAAGTGAACATGGCTACAATACCACGCATGTCACTCATAACCACCAAGTGATGGGATAGATCAAGCTCAACCTGCACGGTGTGGAGGATGTAAAGTGGCTTTAGAAACAGAAATGTCAACCAATTTCAAAATTTGAAATCTGTCAGAAGGGACATAACTACATATTCTTTCCTTGGACTCAAAAATCATGAAGCTTTGAGCTGTATATTCTCCTTGTGTATTAAGTTAAAGAATTGAAAGACTTCCTGATATGAAAATGTAAATCTGTGTGCGGCTCAAATCTGAATACTTTCTGTGAATGTTTTGGTCCCGTGAAATTCTGATAAACTGTTTTTATTAAGGACAGCTACTTAATGTTTGCATTTGCCGTGTTAGTCTGCAGTGGAGCTGATGTAGTGGTCACTGCAGAGGACAAGCTATGGAAGTAATGGTAAATATCATATGCAAAACAACTACCAACAGCATAAATAAAGCCACAGTTCTGTTCAGCATTTGTGTTCAACCTCACAATCATAGACTTACGTGTCACCAGTTGAATTACACATTCATTTGCAACTTTGTTATAACTGACAACTTTTTAAAATCAAATTTGCTTAAAAGGGGTCATAACATGGATATAGCTAAGAAGTATTTCTGGTCACACCACCAAGCAAAAGGGATATGTGCTAAGAGCACAACGTACTGCATGGGATGTCAAAACTGATATGTAACACAGCAGTGGGAAAGACCAGCACTGATCAAAACCATTCACACTGTGAGAAAGAGTATCCTGATAGCTCCTAGGAGGGAGTACAGCTGGTCCTACCGCTGCACAGAATGCATTTCCAGCATGGAAGAAAGGAAGGAGAGGATGCCTACAGCGTTAGCTCATCTTTAGTAGTTCAGAGTAAGGAAGCAATATCTTTATTCCATCCATTTGTTAATTTTCTTCTGAATGCTGCACTGGCTGAAAAGTAACTGGGAGGAATGGGAAGAGAAAATGTAGACTCAGACACAAACAGAAGCTTTGGGCAATACATTATATCATCCCGGGTACAATTTTTACTGTTGGATGATATTTCCTTGCTGTGGAGTTTCAGGGCCATGCAGTATCCTTTTCAGTAATTTCTGTTCTTCACTCTTTTGTTAAGGAGGATCCTTTCCAAGCTGTGGTTTGCACAGTGCTAGTGATATGGTCAGTGTACCCTGGTTGGTGGGCAGATAACATTGTCCTACCTGCCAACTGATAGCAATCTCTCTTCCTCTTCATTTTGAATAAATTCAACTCATTCCCCACTATACAATCAGACCATGTAAGTGGTACAGTTCTATGACAAATGTCAGAGGCAAAACTATCCACTGGTCCAAAATTTAGACAACAGTGATCTAGGATACCTCTGCTGGCACTGATACACAATTCTTAAATGCAAAATTATCAACTGGATGATCTTAACAGTGGTTCACCAAAACCCTTTTTTTCCAAAGAATTACACTGTTTACCTTCAGTCCGGTCCGGTAGTTTCCCACTTTTACTTGTTGTTCCTGTGTTGACTGTTTCAGATGAGGTGCTGAGTTTGGTGTTGGGGTCTCGCTTCGGTTTTGGAGGTGGCTGCTTACGAGAGCTGCTACTTTCATCATCAGTTCCTCCAACAGAATGAAGAGACTGGGATCTCACGGTAAAGCCACTGGAGCAAGGATGAGGCAGTCTGTCCTGAGGAGCCGGCATTGTCATAAATCCCATGCGGAAATGTTTCCCCACGTAGCTGCCTTCATTTCCTCTTGCTACTTCTCCACCTATGCTGTAAGAGAAAGCACAAATATAAGTAAATGATCCACCTTTGCCTGAACCGTACCTGGAACCAGGGTCTCACTTCTGCCTCTGATGAGCAGATCCTACTTTTGAATTTGAGAATGAGCAATGCTCTTTTCTTAAGATGACTACGAGAGGTCTATTTTTCAACATAGGCCAACAACTGAGATGCAGATACACTGCTATGCACTCAAAACTTTACAAGAAGAAATTGAGAAAAGTTTTTGTCAGATTTCATAGCATTGTGACTAGAAATTGTCTATAGAACAAACTTCAAACATCTGAAATCAGAAGTGAATTTTCAGGAAGACAAGAAACTGTGAGTTGGGCAAAGAATAATGTTTTAGAAATACAACACTGTGTATTGATTCACACTCCCTGACACTCATCTTAGAGTACAGATACTCATGCAGCTTGGGAAACAAGGCTTTTGGGGTCCAATCAATCATTTCCCTTGATATTAGAGAATGGTAAAAATTACTTGGATATAGGAAACTGAACATTAACATCTCATGAAATCCATATAAAGCTGCAACACAAGTGGCTTCAGACTATTAAGTTATAAATGTAGGAGATGAAAAAGGCCATAGGCTGTGGGACGCCAGAAAGAAAATAACCTTCAACCACGCAGAAATGTAGGTATAGAAGAAAGAAATTTCAGTTGAAACAAGTGCCATCATACCAAATTTACTGTGGGTGGCAGAACTGAGAACCTGGTATTGTTCCTGCCCTACTCGTGTGGGCTTATCAGTTCTGAAAAACAGCTCTTACTGGTGCTTATACTGTGAACATATAGCACATTTCAATTAAGGCAATTCAGTGACTATACAAAGAAACTCAGCAACACACACAGGTCAGCATGGGCCTGTTTGCAACAAGGTTTGAAATGATACCACTGCGGGCACATAGAAGTGTTAGTACAAGAACTGGTAAGTCCCAGAAAGCCCTACTTAGCTTGTTTCCCCTTCACACAGAGTGAAGCTCTAAGCAGGGTCAGTGTGCTTCTGTGAAAGTTTCTTATTCCATGTTGCCTTGGGCTGGTGCCATTTATTTGGTGCTGGAATGCATTTCCTTTTTTAAAAACAAGAACGTTTCTTAATAGTGTGAAGAATACAAGCTGTATGTAATTGTCCTAAAAGCATCAGACTGGCAACAAGCAGTGCACAACTTTGTGCATGATAAAGCAGAACGTTTGTTTGCTTACTACTGTCCTTGCATTTTTATTCCATTTCCTCTCTGAGTGGAGATGTCCACCTGAACAGGTCTAATTGATCATGTGCCACTCTCCAGGGGCACTGACACCTACCAACATGTGTAAACATGTGCACACAGGCATGCCACATATATGCACACACTGGCCCATGTTCATAACCAAGTTATTACCAAAGCCTAATTGGCATCAATTCCAGAGGGATTTGCAGGCAGAAAGATCAAAAGGTAGAACTCATTAATTTGAATATTTATAAAAAAGCTATAGCTAGTTGAAATGATTAACTATGCCTCTACTAATCTTTCATAAATTGTTCTGAAAATAATATAATCCTCTGACACTGGACTACAAAAAGGGCCTGTCAAATTATTTAAAGAAGATTACTATCCAAAAATGCTGAAGGATGCAGGTGGGGAGTCTCTTTCCTTCCTTAAGTCCATTGGATAAATCACTTTTAGCAAACAAAATTTCATTTTGCCAAGTTTCCAGTATTACAATTCTTAACAGGTTACACTATTTAATTAGTGCATTTACTTCACTGCTGTTTGAAGGTGTTTAAACCACATGCTATAAGACAGATTCTGTTCCAGAGTGACTCGTACAAATTCCACGAAGGTGACAGGTTTCATCCTTTTCCTGAGAATACACAGAACTGCATTTATATGAAGCACAAGGTTTTTCTGCCAAACTGCTTCATCTTGCAATTCCAGAAATAAAAACTTTCAAAATATATCTGGTGTCTAAATGCACTGTTTTATTAAACAATTAAATCATGTCCTTTCTTTCCCTTCCCTTAATTTTTTTTCTTCCTTACTGAGTTTCTTTCAGTATCATGGATGCAAACCTCCTACCTGCTTCCCATGCTTCCTCCACAATAAACAGCTCTATAGCCAGGTCAGAGAGAGGTTGCAGTTACAGACAGAGACAGAACTTTCTGTTCTGCTTCACAGTTGAAGTAGATCTGGTCTTGCTTTTTTACATCCTCTGCTCAGCTACTAGAAGAAACAGCCGGACACCATTTTCCCCTTCTCAGCCACATTCAGAATAGAGTCCATTCTTCTTTGAGTGTAGGAGCCAACCTGCAGCTGATGGTTAAGCACTGTAAACCCCAAGCTGAAGAGGACTAGTCTCTAATTCTTGATTCAGGACCCTGGTCATTGACCAGGATCACAAAAGGCTTAGGTTTATTACTTACTCTGGTAGCAATCCCTGAGTGTTGGCAGCAGGTGTTTCTGAGCAAAGCCTGAGTGGTATGTGCCAGCCTCACACAAGGTGGAGTGCCAAGTTCACATCCCAGTATCACAGAATCAACTAGGTTAGAAAAGACCTCTGAGATCATCGAGCCCAACCTATGACCCAACACCACCTTGCCAACCAGACCATGGCACTGAGTGCCACATCCAGTCTTTCCTTGAACACCTCCACCAACTCCCTGGGGAGCCCATTCCAGCATCTAATCATTCTTTCTGTGTAGAACTTCTTCCTAATGTCCAAACTAAACCTCCCTTGGCACAGCTTAAGGTTGTGTCCTCCAATACAGACCAAAATCCTCTGTGGCACAAAGAGAAAGGAATCACTTCAAACTCTTACCCAGAGCAAAATTCCAAAATCAGGATGACAGATTTCAAACATGGCATCCCCTACCCTCACGTAGCAGCAAGTTGAAGCTCCATTTAGACTTGTGCAATGCACGATGCTGCTGATGTTACATCATGAAACCAGATAGAATTAAAGGATTTATTTATATACTCCTCCTGCTTGCAACCATAAGAATTGGCTGGGACCAGTATATGTCCCACTACAGCACAAGCCAAGAAACATTTACACACACCTTGTTACATAAATGACTAAAGAGACAGTGAGAGAAAGTAATTGTGTAATCTCACTCCATTATTTCTGACAAGAAAGAGTCTGTGCTCCTCATTGTACTGATAATGAGTTCTATCTCATTTCAAAATGGTATTAGGTGAGTTGCTGCAAGTATTACATAGTTTATTAATATATATGGAAATACAGATTTGGATTATTCCTCTGGGAAGTTTCAATTCAAACTTGGCCAGGATCAACTGCTTCTCTGACAAAGAATTATGCACAGCATTCAAATAACTGTTAAAAATGCAAGATATTTGTCTCCAAAGACAGACATGAATTATATAACAACAAAATTAATCATATGATCACTCACGTTACACACTTACATCAAAGCTGACTTTGTGCTGAAAAAGCACTTTGGTGTTTGCCAAGGTCTAGTGACTGGTGCTGCAGTGAGTGGAGAAAAGGGTGCAATGAAGTTGGTTTGAGACACCCTTAAGAAGACTATTCTGAAGCATCTCTCCTTTCAAAACCACATTACAGGACTTTTCCAAAGCCTTCCTAACAAGGCCAATGCAGACCATTGAGTGCTGCCAGATTACATGCTCTCTTCCTGGGTGCACTGCAAGGTAAGCAAGCTTCCCACCCTTCTCCCTCTTCCCCACAATAACGGAATTAAATCATTACAAAAAATACCAATATTATTGGATCTGCCTTAAAACAGTAACAGTGGATTTCAGCCTTCATTTCTAAAATATGAACAAGAGATCCAACTGATGGATCTGATGAGTCCTGTTATATCTCCAATATGGGTTTTGTCTGTCAGCTGAGATTAGCTGAGGTCAGAACCGGGCTGGCATTAAATCACACTGACCTTGCTGTTCCTACCTGTGGTATCAGCCTGCTGGCACATAGGCTGTAATCATGGCAGTCCTGGACACATCACAGCTCAGCTTCTGGTGCTCTGCCTGCTCTGTCCTGCTCTGTTCTACCATGTAGATATTGGAGCATTGACCTAACTACAGCAGAGAATAATGGAATTGTTTACATCTTTGAAGAACTACAAAGGAGAAATATTTTATATTATTCATTTTATTACAAGTCACAAGAGGGCAAGCTATAGAGGAAGACTAAACATTAAAAATGAACACAGTAAGTACTCTAAATGGACACAGCGTGGGCAAGGTCATGTCCACCTTGCTTTGTCATAAGTCATAGTGTTCCTACTGACTATGAATATATTTTTAAGTTAGAAAACAAACACAAATAAGTTTTCATCACATTGTTGAAAAATACATAGCAAAGGAAAAGTATCCAGAGACTGACTGCCTCAGTCAGTGAGGTCTTTTTAGTTTGCATTGTTCCTACTCAGCATTGAAAAACAAATTTAATTTGCTGTGCAGTTTCATTAATTGGTCCAGGAAGAAATCGAATTAATTCCTGGAAAAGAAATTAATAGTTGTATGAAAACTTTTGTTTTACTTGGTGTTACTCATTTAACTGTAAACAATGTGGAATATTAAATCCCTCAGTGCAGTTGTAAGGAGCAGAAATCTTGGGACTACGTAAATCCTATAAAGTCAGAATACCCTAGAAATACATTTTCTTCCCAGCCATCTACCTACTCTTGTTCTTGGAATTCATGCAAAAATCCCCTTATCGGTTCAGATTTACAATGGATTAGTTTCATGCCTCGGGCACCAAGAACCATTTGGTAGTTCCCCTCATCTTTGTACAGTTTCTATTTTTCTTCCTGTGCTTCTTTACATGAGATTTTCTGACTTTTTAGCTACAAGTTCAAAACAGGAGCTACACCTGACTATGAGACTTGACCTCTTAAGCAGGAGGAGGGAGAATGTACTCTGCTGGGGACATGGCATTTCTGAAGGTATTTTGCCATTCTTTGCTGTGATACACACCAATCAGGGACCACAAAAGTTCACCGTCCTTCTAAATGTTAAAATTCC